ACAATTTTGTATTTTTTTATTTTAGTACTTATTACGATTAATCCAAATATGTGTTACTCTACTAATATAGCGTTTAAGTTGACATTAAAAATTACCTTAATAGGAATATTTTAACATGTTTAAAATCATTGATACTTTATTATTTTTCTATTAAACTTATTTAATGTTTTGAAAAAAAATGTTTAATTTTTTCTCCATTATGAATACACCCTTACCCTGCAGTTGCACTGATGAGTCACTATTTTCTTAACGCGAATGAACTATACGTAGTGTTGTATTTTGCTGTTTTTTTAATACGTATACATAATTAGGTGAAACTACTAACGTATTTTTAACCTTTATTATTATCATTACAGAACAATATGGACAGGAGGTTTCGTACACGTCCTCTTAGTTTATTTGTAATAACTAAGATACTTTTCGTAATAAAGAATAAGAAGCAGTCATCAATAAAAATTATAGACCCAAACAATGCAAAAGATAGTATCGTTTGTTCCTCTTGTAATTCTGCGAACCTTCCGCTTTTTTAAGGGAATCTGTGTATCTTCAATATAGACATGCATATGAGGTGAATGTTTTTCCCCACGACAACGGCTGACAATAGCCGAGGTCCGAGTCTTAGAGATGCCCTCTAGTTGAGCCGACCCTCTCAGGTTCAAGTGGTCTAGAGGCTCCAGACGAAGAGGACACCCCGTGAGGATGTTATCCCCCTGGAATACCTCTAGAGGCACTCGCCAATTCTCGGCATGAGGTCCCCTTAGGATGTCGCTGTCCCCAAACCTGGTGACGCTGTAAAGGTCATCTGCGACCAACAGCATACATACTCAAAAAAACCTGAATGTTTGCATCAAAGATGCAGTAATTATGAACTACATATGCTAATAAGTTTAGTGTTGTGTATACTACCTATACCGCATTTCCCCGTTTGTTGTTTCAAGACAATGGTTTCTATAGTTCTATGGGACCTCCGTGAGACCGTTTCGCCCGTGACCCAGCTTTTACTCTTTGTTCATTCATAAGTCGTCATTAACGTGTGACAAAGTTATGACGACACAAATACTTTAGAATTTTTTCCATATGTAACATACCTACCCATTATGAATTAATAAAACACCTATGATATTATTATTATTTTATAATAAATACACCGCTCTGTTGAAAGGGCATCAAAAGTGTATGTAATATAATTTTGTAAAACACCGCAATGGCGTCGTCGCCATATGTGGCACATGCATAGCCGCGTCGGCCGTGTTGCTCTATGGCCTCAGGTTGTAGTTAAATAAAGTTCTAGGAACCAAAAATGTTATCTAGTGCTACATAGTGACGAAATGAAATGCATCTTTAAATGTACTCGTATATAGCAGAAAGAAGGCATTGCTATTTGCACTTTCTTCGATCCAGTTATGCCTTTTTCATTTTCACGGCAATAATCAATTTGCTACGTAGGTACATTTATATATTTATTGTTTTTTTAAGCTGTTTATTAAAATGCCACATTGGTGATGAAATAAAAAGGGAATGCCGATTAAGCTTATTTCTAAAGAATACCAGGAGGCCTACTTTTAATTCAACGAAAGACGAAATTTTGATCGAAACTTCGCACTTTTTTTACTATGTTTCTAATTCGTTTTTAAATATAATAATATTAATCGTCGAAATATAGATTGGAGGTGCAGATTTTCTAAGTCTAATCAAAGAAAGCTTCCATTTGATAGTTTATCGTTCAAATTAAGTAAAATCTTAAATTGACGAAGTTAAATTTCGTTTGAACTTCCCTTTCGGAGAAAGAGAGTAGACCCTCTGGTCTAGATCCAAAAGTTTAACAATACATTCTTATAAAATATTCACATTTTTATTTTATGGTTAGACTCACCTGGCTTTAGGTTATTGTTCTGTGTCTGTGGACTCGGGTCTGTATGTCGTAGGCTTCCAAAAGGCAATGGAAAAGAGTTACATAAGAAGCTCAGTCCGGCTACTTTCAAAATCTATATTAATTTATTCGTGTTCTTTTTTCGGATGCTGCTTCATTTTGTTTCCATAGTATTTAATACACCCGTGTGAAGCCGGGACGGGCCGCTAGTGTTTAATATTGGCATCACTTATGCCAATGCTACGGTAATTACCGTGTTTACAGTTTTTTTATTCAAAACTAAGCAATCTACGGCATACGGCTGTCATCCCAAGGCCGTAGTATATTCTACGGCTTTTAGCAAATAATGACTTTTTCACATTATTGCACTCGCCTTGCCTATAAGATCGTCATTGATCACATAACTTACTAAACATAGGAGATTGCTCAGATTCCATACATGTTTGGCCTAAAGACCAATAATCATGAAAAATTGTTTCTTAGATTCGAAATTATAGTTAAATTACTGTAGAAACGAATATTATTGACGGACACCCCTGAGAACTTCTATAAACCATATACACTGAACATATTAAAATAATAAAAAACAAATAAGTTATATAGTAAACTAGGGAAATCAAGCCAAGTACTAAGTAATTATGGATTAGATTCAGGTATATAGAGCATGTAGATTAACAGATAGTTGCCTCTTTTTAAAGTTAATTCTTATGCATGCAAGAGTAACTTTTAAAATCAGGTGTCATTTATGCATTTCCGGTTATAATAAGGTACTCTGTGACAGAAACTGTGTGATGATTGTGACTGAGCCACAGATTAGAGACAATTTTTAAACTCTCGTTAAACAAAGAAAGCTTAAAGATTTAGGTTCTATAGCCATATATTCAGTAGCTTCATTATTTTTGTTATGTTTTTAAGATAACCATATTTTAGATTTTTAGTGTATCACACCTTATAATTTTATTTATTTATTAATTTATAGTCAGGGAACGTAGGCCCATAGATAGATACCTTAAAGTCTAACATATATACAGATTATAATGTGTTTATGGAGGTGTTTGGCGAAAAATGTATGGCAATAGACTTAATGATGTCGCCTACCATCTATAATAAATTGTCTGAGCACATTTGCATCTAGTGAAAATGATAATATAGTTATGGATATTAATACCACAGTGTAATAAAAAAAATGATTTATTTTATCGATCTTTACAAAACAGATTTGTTTTTATGTTATATAAACTACTTCGATCAGTCTTTGGCTGAATGTTACTACACCCATAGCCATTAAAAATGATTCGTATGTTTTCCAAACCGGTAAAATTAAAAGTCCTTTTTAAAGTAAATCTAATATATAAAATTCTCGTGTCGCGGTGTTTGTGATTAAACTCCTCCGAAACGGCTTTCCCGATTCTCATGAAATTTTTACAAATTTCAACCGCACCTAATTTTTTTTTCAATTTTAGTTTATTTTTTATTTTTTTTATGATACAGCATTAGTAAATACATATAACCCTGAATTTTCAACCCTTAACAATCAACCCCTATTTTTTAATAGCGGTACGAAGTTCGCTGGTTCAGCTAGTATATTATACAAAGGTGTCCGTTGAAATCTAATGACTGTAAATTAAATTATAAATTACGCCAAGAATTACCGTGTATGTCAATATTTTTTGTGCATTTGGGCCAATTTATTGTAAGCTGGCAAAAATTAAATGAAAATAAACTTAATTCAATATTAAAAGCTCTTTCCAAAAAAGTGCAGGCCGCTTCTCGAGACATACCGCACTTAACGATATCATACGCCGCGCCGCCGGTCTCTTGCCACGGTCAACGTGCGAAGTTTACTGGAGCCGACTGGTATTGCAAGAGACGATGGCAAGAGACCGGACGGTATGAGTTTGATTCCATGGAAGATGGGCCGGGTACTGGTATGGGATACAACCTGTTCAGACACGCTGGCCCCTTCCCATCTACATGGAACCAACAACAGAGCTGGTGCGGCTTGTGAAGCGGCTGAAAAAGCAAAAGCATGCAAATACAGGGATATATGCTCCGAATATGATTTTTTCCCATTCGGTGTCGAGACCCTTGGTCCGTGGGGTCCTAACGCTTTAAGTTTTTTTAAGGAAATATCAAAAACGTTAGTCGACATCACTGGAGACCGAAGAGCTGGCAGCTACCTCGGGCAAAGAATTAGTCTAGCTATTCAAAGGGGGAACGCTGCCAGTATCTTCGGAACCTTGCCTAAAGGGTCTCCTTTTAATAATATATTTTAGTTATTATATTATATTTTTCAGTTTTAGGTTCATTGTTCCTGTATATATTATTATTGTAAATATCATACAATTAAAATAAACGTTCATACAATATACATTACATTGTGACATTTTAATAAACTGCTTTTTAATGTCATCCCTTGAAATTGAATCTTAAGACGTTTAAGTTTTGAATCGAAAATCAGATTACCTACATGAGTGAGTGATATTGTCGTAATTAAAAGAGCAATTATAATAATAATTAAGATAATGGAGTGTGCGCCAGTTCCTCGGGCTGATTACCTTGCGCGCGATATCATGGGGAGTAAATATAGGTACAAGAATTTAATGTACACGTTGACCATTCTATAGGTGAGATACTTATATGCTTACTTACGAAGTCATAACTGTTAGACACAGAACACAGAAAGAGGTTAGAACGGCCTTGTGGGCGAGGCAGGCATGCCACAGTAATGTATGAGCAAATGACACCGCACCCATAGGATAAGAGTGCGAAGACCCGGTCTACACACGACACGCTATACCAGGTACAGGTACGTACCTGGGCGTTTTTCCCCGCCCTCCACGACAACGGCTTACTAGAGCCGAGGTCCGAGGTCAGAGGCGCCCTCTAGTTGAGCCGACCCCTCAGCTTCGAGTGGTTTAGAGGCTCCATACGGAGAGGAGACTCCCCCGGTAGGGAGATGCCATCCGCCTGGAATACCTTTTGAGGCACTCGCCAATTCTCGATTTGAGGTCCCCTTAGGATCTCACCGTCCGCAAACCTGGTGACGCTGTAAAGGTCATCTGCGACAAACAGCATACACACTCAAAAGAAAAAGTTAAGAATTATCATTTTTTTCTGATTGTTCCAGTAAGCATGTCATCGTCAGAAGGCGGGTGCGACAACAAGGCGTTCGAGGGCACCGCCGACGACGGGTTCCAAACCATCGACTTGAGAACTACTCGCCTGCGCGATGACGGCACTGGACGGCGACAGTTGGTAACTACTACTAATACTTTATTACCTTAATTTTCGTACAAAGCATTAAGCAGCTTCATTTATATATGTATCTTATTAAAAAAAATACTAGAAAAAAGGATGCTGAAAGGCACTGGTTCAAATCCAGCCTGACACCTGAACCGAGTAGAATAGGGATGATGACAGGTTCAAGTAAAGAAATTCTATTTAGTGAGTCATTCACATTATTAAACTATACCCTGTCTGCGCGTCGCGGTTCGCGCTCTTGCATTGCGCAGTCGGGTAAAAATAATGACTACTTCTGTCAATCAATCAAATTAAAGATAAAGTGCGTCAATACCTTTTTAAAAAATCTACCTGATAGACGAAGAAAATAAACTTAGGTACTAATCATGCCTATTGTTTGTAGTAAAGGTTTTGATTACTAGAATTCTTACGAGTAGTTTTATTCGCGACAAGCGTCCGCCCGCCTTGCACGCAATGCTACAAAATATAACCACTAACACTCAAGAATAATGTAACTTTTCTATTAGTTCAAAAATTTTCGAATTCTATATGTAAAAATAATAATGTAATAGGTTAAGATAGGATACTAGTTTGGGGTAAGGAAATGAGATGAGACGTCACAGAACCTGATTTTTATTTTTCTGTAAAAGATTATGAAATTTAGCACAATTATTTTTTCAACCGTTATTTTTGTTATAAAGCTAGGATGATTTAATTATTGGTATTGCCTGGAAAAATAATGAAATTAACAACTGAAAAATTATCCATTTGGTTTACAATAAAAAAATAAAGTAATTATTATTTTTGTTGAAGTAATTAAGAAGAATGTTTTATGCAAAATCCTTTTTTTGAATACCTGATTTAAAAATACCATCTACATATCTAATGTAAAAATGTACGTAAGTATACAGTCATAAAGTATTGAAATAACATTTATGGCCATGTCATTTGATGGCGCTGGTTCGAAGATTTGACTTGGAAGGTGAGAATGTTGAGGACTTAGTTTGCACTCCTTGATTTTGGTTTCTTGATTATTTGGGTTTGTTTACATGCCGGCACTGATCTCTTTAGTTCGTTCAACCTTGTAATTTATCTTGCTGATGAAAAGTGCACTGTACTGATCATATAATTGGAGTAATATCCAGTTTTATTTGAGTTATTTACTTGATATTCTTGGACAGTTCACATTAGTAGTGTTAATGTAACTGCCATCAATAAAACACTGGCCAACGTCACAAGCAGCGGCTGGGCAGGCGGTAACCAAGGAGAAACGGGAGAATCTTGTCATTGAACTCAATCAGGCTTTGGACCACATTTCTGAATGGGGTACCAAGAACTTGGTTGAGTTCAATGCTAAGAAAACCCAGGTCTGCGCTTTCACGGCAAAAACGTCGCCATTCCTTTTATGTCCTTCTCTTCAGGGCACAACACTGGAGCTAGAGAGCAGTATCACCATGCTCGGTATGGAGATTCGCTGTGACTTAAATCCAAAAAATTACATCGAAAGTGTGATAAAAACAGCCTCACGCAAACTCGGAGTCCTGAACAAGGTGCGGCGTTTTTTCACGCCCGAGCAACTATGCTTGTTATATAAGACGCAGGTTCGGTCTTGCGTGGAATATTGCTCGCACCTCTGGGATGGCTCCGCCAAGTACTTGCTCGATGCTTTGGATAGGTTACAGCGGCGCGCAATACGCATCATAGGTGATGAGGAGGTGTCTAAACACCTCGAGCCTCTTCAATTACGCCGTGACGTGGCGTCACTAAGCGCGTTCTATCGTCTGTACCACGGCGAGTGTTCTGAGGAGTTATTCTCTCTTATTCTACCTTCCCCTTTCCTTCAGAGGACCACGCGCGCTGGCTTACGTTGTCACCGTCTAACTGTGGCTACAATTCCAACGCGTACAAAGAAATTTGGTGACTCATTTCTTTGTCGTACTATCCGTAAATGGAATGCTCTGCCCGCTCACGTGTTCCCTCCCTCTTACAACCTGGGATCCTTTAAAAGAGGCGTGAAGAAGCAACATGCAGGCCGGCAGGGTGAGGATGGCTGGTGTGGCAGGTAGAACTGCTGTATCAGCTATCTTCGCGTCTGGACTTCACCTCCACTTAACATCAGGTGGGGTGGAGTCATTTGTCGGACCTATCTATAAAAAAAAAAAAAAAATTAATGTCATCTCGGAACGTCATACATTGGGCCGGATTTTGAAAAAAGTAGACATTGTCAACTTTTGCTTCATAATATAAAATATCCATAGAAATTAATGATAAAAATGAAAAAAAACACGAGGAAAAAAATTAACAAAATATTTTAATTTTGAAACCACCTCAAAGGCAAAGCCGCGCGTGACCGCAAAATATTTTAATTGATGTGTGTTAAGAAAATGTAGTTCTAAATCACTGTATTGGTTATACTTTGACAGCTCGTGCCAGTCTAGAGAAAAAAAATAAAAAGGTTTATCTCCTAAACATTTTTTTTTATCAATATTTTTTTTATATATATTTATATATATATGACATATATATTTATGTCATATATGACACATTTTTATGAAAAGTTAAATATAACATTTATTGTTCTGTTTCATTAGTACTATCTAATAGTATTTTTGAAATCTGTATATTTCCAATGTCCACTTTTTTCAAAATTCGGACCAGTGTGCGTCACCGCGTTCCGCGTTGCATCTCCAGCAATCAGATAAAAGCAGCGGTGTGAGGAAAAGAGGAGGGAACAAACCATTGAAAAATAAATTCAAGTACTAAGTCTTTAAAAAATATTATTAATATTGCTACTAAGCAGTTTCAATTATTCTTTTTTTTTGTATTTTATCCTATAAGTAGCGCAAACATCATTAGTGCATTTCTTTCTGGTACCTATTAAAAAATACCCAACCCATATAATGTATATATATTTCGAATGCATTGACCTTTACATAATAAAGTTGGTCCAACACGCGAACACCGCGGATATTATACAAATAACACATTAATTATACATTATGCATCATATGCCATTATTTGCCCTTTAGTTACAATCATAAAACTTGCACTAAGTACCGACATTAGAATGATAATGAGTTGATGAATGATTAAGCTTCTGCACAACAAAACCATCTGTGATTGAAAAAGCACTATATCCAGAGTGTAACGCAATTAAACCTCTATTGTAACGATATGAAAGCAACAGGAAAAGCTGCTTAAAAAGCAATATTCCGAAGCCCGAGAAAAGCTTTTACTCGCTATTCTCGATTTCCCCCCAAAAGCCATAAATATGGCGCGAATTTAATTTTGTTCCAAATTCAAATTAAAGTCACGTCAAGTTCTCCCGCACGTGCGCAGTGTTGCGTATAGAATATTGAAATAATTCAGAGTAGTCCCTTATAAAGACGTCTTTAGAAAATCAACTAGTGACTGATTACGTATGATTTCCGTGTAATTTTGCGTGTGTTGCGACACTGATTGATGTTCACAACTTACTATCATTACATACGTCCTTGTTGTATTGTTTTGTTTACCTATAGCATTATATAAAACAACACAATCTAGGAAATAGACCAAAATCACATTATCTGAAAAAAGTTTCACCCTTCTAGCATTTTTCCAAAGGATGACATTATCGTTACTTATGCTTTTAAAATAGTTCGTGGGATTTTGTAGGTAAAGCTTTTGTGTCATATTTTTAGCATGCTTTCATTCTTACTACTCGAGGAATAATTTTCTTTATAAAACCAAATAAATCCGACTTTGAGTAAACATTAAAGAATAATGAACGAAGGAACGTATATTGCGCGTTTGTATTTTTTCAAAAACTTTATTTTTATTGACGAGCGCGTGAATCATAAAATGTTCGTGATTGATCTCTGTTGGTTGGAACTTTTACTATTTATTTCTTCTTCTTCGAATAGATGTAATAAAAAAGAAAATTTTCCCCTGAATAATACATGATATTATTTTGAATATATTCTGTGGAATGAAAATAAGATTCACAACTTAAAAGGTTCTGTTCCCAGTTGGTCTGCATTATCGTTTGTTTATATTCGGTGGCGGGAGCGCCACGCTCCCAGTTTCCCGCGTGGAGTTGTCGTGAGCGTGTCGCGTGTACCGGACCTCGGAGTAAAAACTTTTTACGTAAACGCTCCATCAGATTTTGGAATGTTTTGAATTTTTTTTCATTGGAGTTTGGTACTCTTAGTGAGTGGATGCTTGGAAATGGTAAACAAAATAATTGTTTTCTGTAAATTTCCCTAATATAGAGAAGTTGGTGGTAGAGTATTGCGGGTGCTACAGCTGAAGAAAGAGAATATACTTAATAAGTTTTTTGTAAATATTACTGTACTCTCATAGTTGCATGCCCGTTTAGAATATATAATTATATAGGGTCTACCTTTTATCGCTGAAAATTTGGGATATTTTTATCGTGAAATAATATTAGGTTTCAGTGGAAATATCTAACAACTATTTACAAAACGTCTCTACGTCGCAATGGCCCACTAGTAGTATTTTTTGGAATTTCCCATTAAAAGATTTCCAGTAACCTGTGATTAAAAGGGAACCTATCTTATCTATTGTGACACAAATAGTTCATGAACACAATATACCTTAAAAATAAATACAATAAATTAGGTCTAAACATTTGCGTCACTAAAAAGGCAGTCCACTCAGCATGTATCGGATGTCGTAGACTGTCCGACGCTGGTTAGGATATTAGGGTTCCGTGCCGTAAGTGGGTCAACGGAACCTTATTATTATAAGCCTTCGGCTGATGTGAAGTACAAACTCATTTTTTCCGGTGATATTTGCTCACAACAACCATAACAATCGTTGTGGGGTTAATTATTAAACCTTGTACGAAACCCTTAATGTGGTAGCCATAAATAAATTAGTAGTAGTAAATAAACTAGCCAGTATTATTTTTACTTCAAATTGCCTACTCCGTAAGATTGATTGATTTGAGGCAATAAACTCTATTTCGTAAATTCAACAACTTTTTCGTTAAAAAATTACCAGTGATTACA